CCGCCACAACATTAAGCTTTCCTTTACGATGGGTAATGTCAAAAGAATATTGCGCTAATTTGACACTCCAACGCGCTAGACGACCTGACGGGTCTTTAAGGCCATTTAGCCATAATAGCGAGTGATGATCCGTAATTATATTAAACCTAACCCCCTCGATATAAGGACGAAATTTTTCTATGCTATACAAAACAGCCAATAATTCTCTTTCGGTTACAGTGTAGTTGCGTTCGGCACTCGTGAGAGTCCGTGAGCAATATGCAATAACGACTTCACCCTCCTTTATGTTTTGCGTTAAAACGCCACCTACACCCGTATTAGATGCATCACATTGGATTGTGAACGGCAGTGAAAAATCAGGACTCCTCAACACAGGAGCTGAAACTAAGGCTTGTTTAATTTTCAAAAATGCCTCTTCGGCTTCTTCCGACCACTTAATACTCTGTTTCTTCTTTTTTCCTTTTATTAAATCATTGACAGGGGACACTAACGTGGAAAAATCTTTAATAAAACGTCTGTACCACGAGCAAATACCAATGAACCGTTTAATCTCTGTAGAGTTTGTAGGTCTGGGGTAGTTTAGCATAGTAGAAATTTTTTCCGGGTCAGTTTTTAATCCGCAATTGTTCCCGTCAATAATGAAACCTAAGTACTTTAGGGTGGTTTTAAAAAAACTGCATTTCGATAAGTTGACCGTTAAATTAGCCTCGCGTCACCGTGAATAAACCTCCTCTAAAAGGCACACATGATGTTCGAATGTTGACGTAACGACGATTATGTCGTCCAAGTACACAAAAACATTCGGCTCGAATTTTGGTCCAAAAATCGCGTCCATGAGACGTTGCTGAGTCTGCGCTGCGTTGCTTAGACCGAATGGTAACACGCAAAATTGAAAAAGTCCTCGCCCTGGTATGGAGAACCCAGTTTTTTCCTTGGCGCCTTCATCGAGCGGTACTTGCCAAAAGCTACTCCTTAAGTCGATAGACGAAATATAATGCGCCCCCTTTAACATATTGAGTATTCTGTCAACTCGAGGCAAGGGATACCTATCAGGTTTTGTTATGGAGTTCAACATGCGACCATCAAAGCAAAAACGGTACTCGCCCGACTGTTTCTTTACTAATAGCACTGGCGAACTATAGGGACTGTGTGACGGCTCTATTACTCCTAACTCCAACATCCTATCGAGTTCCTTATTAAGGTGTTCCATCAAATATGGGGACATTAAATACTGCCTTTGCCTAAATGGTTTCGGATCAGTTACCTCTATGGTATGCTTTATTTTATGTGTACGACCTAACTGAGATTCGTCACCAATATTGTGAAAAAGTTTTATGCAATTTTGAATTTTTATTAATTGGTCGCTTGTAAAGTTGTTAACGTCTCTATAGGTAGATGACGCTTCGTTGACGCTCGCATTTAGGCCAGCGTTTTCGTTATTTTGAACTGTGCACGTTTGATCATGAAAGCTAATCGTTACCAAAAATTTCTCACAAAAATCACTGCCCAAAATTACAGTCTGTACTAATGACGGAACTATTAAAAATGATATTACATTCAACACGTTATCTATTACGATGGGTATGTCAACTACCCCTGCTACACAACTTTTTTTTCCATCTGCAACGGTAATATATTTTATATTAGTAGGGTACAAATTGAGGCGAAATTTTTCCAAAATATACATGCCCGCCTTACCAATTATGGACCGATTTGCACCGGAATCTAAAAGTGCGACCACGATCGTATCAAACATATGTATTTTAATATACGGTCTATTGTCTAGGTGCCTTTTTTCTACTGCGGTAGAAATGCTTGCCTCGCCTTGAGCCCTTGCCTTGTAAAATTTTGCTACCGTTGTTAACCACGACTGCCAGGAATTATTAAAATTAGTTTTATGTGTGGGCTTACATATGAAAGGATAATATCGCCCTTTATTATCCCTATTCTCTAGTTTTTTGTACATTTCGGGCATTCTTTCATTGTAACGTTTTGATGACCGCACCCGTAACAAAATAACTTCCTGCTTGCGGAGCAGTTACGAAATGTATGATTTGGATAATTACAATTCCAGCACTTAACAGATGTGCGCGTTTCGGAATCGTGCGTAAAATTTTTGTTCCTAATTGTTCTACTCCCATTATAGAAGCGCGGTTTATTTGTGTTAGAGTACCTAGGTGTAGCTATAGTATAACTCTCCACGTCCGATCGGGAATGATCTGGCGTATGACCATTACTTGCCATCTCGTTAACGGATACGGAACCCCTTTAGCTGACGATTGCGCGGCACTCACGCTCTGTTTTTGCTTACCCGTGATAGTATTTTGCGTTATCGATTTTTTTACACAACAGCCAACAATTCTGAAATGCAAGTTAATTTGGACAAGGGCAAAGATGAGATATATAATTAGGAAGTAAGTTCCTCCTCAAATATTTTAATTTTGTAGCCTCTGGAATCTCTTGGCCTACGCGTTTGAATAAATTTTCCCATCATGGCTACGAAATATATGTACAGGCTCTCTTTCTTTTGGTTACCTATCCCTAATCTCCTGCCAAACATTCTTCCTCATAATCACACGGCAAAAAATCACATTTAAGCTTAACAACTAAATTCGTCCCAATTTTGCTACCAAGGGTTTATAGCCCTAACCACACTAATGCCCCGTCGGAAAACATTCAACGCAGAGTTAAATAATTCCGTCTTACTAATGTTCCTGGCTAAACTATAATCCCCAACTTGTTCTAAAATGTTAAT